TTATCTTATTAATCCCTTATCCCCACCCAAACCCCTGGCAAATGCTGATTTTTTTACTGTTTCCATAGATTTGCCTTTTCCAGAATGTCATATAGTTGGAATTATACAGTATGTAGTTTTCTTCAAGTTCGTTTCTTTCATTTGAAAATATGCATTTCAGTCTCCTTCATGTCTTCTCATGGTTTCATAGCTCTTCTTTTTTTTTTTTTTTTAGGCAAGGCAACCCTTGGTTGACCTCACAGATTACAAGGACCTTGTCAGCTTACAATCCCTTATTTTTTTATTTTTTACGCCTATAGTACCTGGTCTTCCTAGGTGGTCTCTCATCCAAGTAGGGTCTCTCATCAGGCCCTACCCTGCTTAACTTCCGAGATCAGATGGGATTGGGCTTATTCAGGGTGGCAGCTCATTTCTATTTAGCACTGAATAATATTCCATTGTCTGGATGTACTACACATTATTAATTTATTCAACTATTGGGACATCTTCGTTGCTTCCAAGTTTTGGCAAATTTAAATAAAGCTGATATTAAACATCTGTGTGCAGGTTTTTGTTGAGGACATACGCTTTTACCACCTTTGGTTGAATATATAAGTAGGATCACTGAATCGTATGATACGAGTATTTTTAGTTTTGAATGAAACTACCAAACTGTCTTCCAAAGTGGATGCTGCATTTCCCACTAGCAGTGAATGAGTTTCTGTTACTCCATATCCTTGACAGCATTTCTTGTCACTGTTACACATTTTGGCCATTCTAATAGGTACGTAGTGGTATCCCATTGTTGTTTTAATTTGTATTTCTCTGAGGACATATGATGTGGACCATATTTTCATATGTTTATTTGCTATCTGTATATCTTCTTTGGTGAGGTGTTTGTTAAGGTCTTTGGCCCATTTTATAATCAGGTTGATTTTTTATTGTTGAGTTTTAAGAGTTCTTTATATATTCTGAGTAACAGTCCTTTATCAGATGTGTCTTTTGCAAATATTTACTTCCAGTCTATCTTTATATTCCCATGATATTGACTTTCCCAGAGCAGAAGTTATTAATTTCAATAAAGTCTAGCTTATCAGTTACTGCTATCATGGATTGTGCCATTGGTTTTGTATCTTAAAAGTCACTGCTATACCCAAGGTCACCTGGGTATTCTCCTATGTCATTTTCTAGGAGTTTTATATTTTCATGTTTTACATTTAGGTTTGCAATAGTTGGAGTTAATTTTTGTGAAAGGTGCATCTAGATTCAAGTTTTTTTGTTTTTTTTGTTTTTTGTTTTTTGCATGTTGATGCCCAGATGTTCCAGCACAATTTGTTGAAAAGGTTATCTTTGCTCCATTGTATCGTCTTTATTCTTTTGTCAAAGATCAACTGAATATATTTATAGATGTCTACTTCTGAGTTCTCTATTTTATTCTATCAGTCTATTTATCAATATCACACTGTCTTGATTACTATAATTTTATAGTAAGTCATGAAGTCGGGTAGTGTCAGTCCTTCAACTTTGTTCTTCTCTTTTAACATTGGGTTGACATCTCTGGGCCTTTTGCCTCTCCATATAAAATTAAGAATGAGTTTTTACTGATATTCATAAAATAATTTGCTGGAATTTTTATTGTGATTGCATTGAAGCTATATATAAAGTTGGAAAGCATTGATATCTTGACCATAGTGAGTCTTCCTATCCTTGAACATGAAATATCTCTCAATTTGTTTAGTTCTTCTTCCATTTTGCTCATCAGGGTTTTGTAGTTTTTCTCATACAGATCTTGTACACATTTTCTTCAGATTTATACCGATCTATTTCCTTGTCCGGGTGCTAATGTAAATGGTGAAGTATTTTCAATTTCAAAATCTACTTGTTATTTCATTGTATAGGAAAGCAACTGACTTCTGAATTTTAACTCTGTCTCCTGCAACTTTGCTATATTCACTTACTCATTCCAGGGGAGTATTTTTCTTTTTTCTTTTTTTTAAATTCTTTATTTTCTACATGGACAGTCATGTAATCGGCAAACAAAGACAGTTTTGTTTCTTCCTTCTGAAGTGGTATAACTTTTGTTTCCTATGGTTTAGATAGGCTCCTTGTCTTCTATTTGTTTCCATAGTATCATAACATTTTTGGGCCCTATATTGTAATTACTCATTTATTCACATCTCTCTTCTCTCATTAAATAGTAAACTCCCTAAGGACAAGAATTGTTGTTTGTCACTGTGTATTCCTGGGATTTAGTACAAGGCCTAGAGCATAATAGGAACTGAATAACATATGTAGAAGAAATTAATAAAAAATTTTATAGCTGCATCATCTCATTTTAGTTGTCTGGCAATAGATACCTGGCTAAAACCATGACTTGGAGTATCTGCTATGGGTTTTTGATCATCACCATTGGTAATATCCAATAGTGTTTTTATGTGGAATTATTAAATGTTTCCTTTAGTTTTTAGGTAACAAATGCAAAAGACATAGCAGTTTTCAGATTTCTAGATAGGGGCTTAGGCCAAGGAAAATATATATCCCCTAAAGAGATTCTGGTTCCCTTACAAGTCTGATGTCAGAGGGTCCGCAGGCTAACTGCATTGTCAAAACAACGGACTTGGAGAGCTCCTGGCTTAGATAACTGAAAGGGAGTCCTCGGCTCTTTAAATAAAGTGAGTGATATTCATATACTTCCTCCACTCAGGTAGCTACATCTACAGGCATTTGCTGCCTCCATTTTCTGCTCTATTCTATCATTATCATAGCTCCTCCTGATTGTTTACTGTCTTTTACAGTGGTTTACAAACCTGTAAACCACTGAATAAACTACAAAACATGTTGCTTATAAAATTATATCTATTAAAAAGATTTCTAGATTATACAAAAACCTCAGGTCAAGTATAGCGATTTACTGAAATTTGCCTTCTATGATCTAAGAATAACATGAAATTTCTTGAAAAAGGTGAGTAGAAATAGCTAGAAACAATCATTAAAAAACAAAAAATCAATTTTCTTCAAAACCCCAGGAAAAGTAGGAGTATGATTTATTTATGTCTCTATTAATAATTAAAATTAATATTTAGCAATTATTCTTAGCAGAGATTTATGTGTTTTGTTCTAATCTTCTATCCACAATTAAGAAACTAAATTTCGTTAGTGTTATTTAACTTGAATGCTTGCCTGAGAGTTAAATTTAGAACATTTATGCAGTTGTCATGTGGCCCTTGTTTGGTCCCCAAGCACTGAGATCAGCATGAATAATCACATTAGTGGGGCAGGCTCCTGCCTCCTTCATAAAAGGTTGTTAATTAAAAAACAGATATTTGCACCAAAGATTATCAGACACTTCTAAAATTCCATAAAATATTGTACTATAATAACTGCCTTGGTTAATCTTTTAAAATTCCATCAGTGGTCTAATTCTTGGAGACACAATTTCCTTTCCCTAAAGATTTTTTT